ATAAAGACTAACTGATTAAAATAACCTTTTCTTCATTTTTCCCTCAAAACATAATCCTTGTAAGGAAGTTTCGGTTTCGGTCGAAACTGAGAGTCGGTCGGACACTAATGTCAATGTTTGTCCCCTTTACTTTATTAGTAAATAATGATTTAACAACACTTGATCTTCTCAGTGTGCTCGGGATTCGATGAAGTTGACGAAGGCCATTATTGCCTGGTTCTGATATGCGAAGGTCTCTTCCGCGAAGAAGTTATCGAAGTGTTTGAAAAGTTGGTTGTCTTTTGGCGAGAGGTCGGGGGAGTATGGTGGGTGAGGCAGAATTTTGACGCTATATTCGTTTAATTTTTGGACGGTGATTTGTGAAACGTGCGGACATAGGTTGTCGTGGAACAGGATCGGATCTCTCCTGTCGACCAGTGCTGGCTGCTGCTGACGCAATTTACGGTAAACTTCGTCGATTTCCTCACGGATAGACTCTGCTGTGATGGTTTGACCCGGTTGCAGAAAGTTATACTGAATCACACCAGCCGCGTATCTCCATACAGTGACCATGGTGTTTTCAAGGTGGGTTTTCGCCTTTGGAAAGTGTCTGGTTGACTCATTGGTGTCCAACCACTGTCTTGAACGTATCCTGTTGTTGTAGAGGATCCACTTATCGTCACATGTGACTATCTGATTCAGAAAAGGAACTTTTTGGTTGCGCAAAAGCAAATAAGGATAGACCTCGAAATATGAGAATTTCCATCGATCCTTGAAATCGTGGGGCACCCACTTTTCGAGCTTCTCGACATGATTTCTTGCTATTAAAATTGGAAAGATATGGGGTCAGAGGCGAAGCTTTTTTCATCATATTTGGAGGAACGAAAGTATTTTGTGAGTGTCTCCGGTCGGAGATCTGCTGAGTACCCAGTTACGTTTGGTGTCCCACAGGGCTCCGTTTTAGGACCCTTGCTATTTATTATATATTTCATTTCAATCTAGCAGACCACTATTATAATCTTCATGCAGTCATTGTTCACTGTGGTTCTGGCGTTGAACCTGGTCATTATTACGCCTTGGTCAAAGACGAAACGGACTGATTTAAGTGTGACGATAGTCGTGTCACAAAGTGTTCTAGCGATGCAGTAAATTTAGTGGAGTCTCTGGAGACACCCTACATTTTGTTTCATGAGAGAGGATATCGGCAGATCCAGATCTTCAGATGATGTGGTGCTGCAGGTTTTTTCGGGTTTTCCTGCAGCTGAAAAAGCAAATGCGCCACTGGAATCAACGAAGTCGCCCCGGAGCGCCAATTAATTTTTGTTGTTTGATAATTTCATGATTTGTATTTCAGAATTATTGAAAATTCTGTATCAATTAATAGAAGACGATCCGCATAGAAGACTGCAGTTTTGTGAGGTCATATTTAACCGCATAACCCAAGATCCCAGTTACATTAACTCTATTTGTTTCATTGATGAAAGTATATTTTTTCCAAATGGAACAGTAAATAGACAGAATGTGCGTTATTGGTCAGACGTAAATCGGCACGTTTTTCGAGAGGGGCATACTCAAACTCCAGAGAAGATCAACATATGGGCTGGTTTTGGGTGACCATATCATAGGTCCAATATTCATGGCAGAAAATGTAACTGTGAATGTAACATAATCAGATCTTTCACAGTATTCAAGAAGTAGTTGGGGCAAACTCAAATAAATTCACCGTGGATGTTACCTTTCAACAAGATGATGCACACCCTCACTACTACAGACCTGTCCGAGAATGGCTCAACGAGAATTTTCTGAGACTGTGGAGAGGCCGACGTGGCCCTATTGAATGGCCTGCTAGGTCACCTGATATGACACCTATGGACTTTTTTCTGTGGGGGTACATAAAATATAAGATAGACATCACGCAGCCACACGAATATGGTCCGAATAAAAAGATGTGTGTTACAGTATTACCCCGGAAACATTTAATGACGTTCGAAATGACTTCTAAAACCGACTTCTTTTCTGTTTAGAAGTGAACGGTGAACATTTCGAGCACTTGTTGAAATAGTTGAAATTGTTACTTGTTAATTTTAGTGCAATTAAAAGTAATTCAGGTTTTTTATTTTATTTGTAACATATTTGAAGCAAATTTCAAACACTTGTCAGTTTAAAATGGCTTGGCCGATTTTCACAAACACAGCGGTTTTCTTTTAGGGGAGTACCCTGACCATTTTGCATGTTTTCAGTGACTAACTCAATAAATTCGAGTACGCTCCTGCTTCTGGAAATGGAAGAGAGAAAATAAATTTTCATTTCCCATAGATATTTGTAGAAATATCAGATGATATAAACCCAGATATTCATTATTCTACTACATAATGACCCATAAAAGCCTAGTAGTAGTTATCGTGTTGACATATAGTGCGTTGATTAAAGACAATATATTCTTCTGAAAGTGTAATATGTTTCTTTGAAGTATTTTCTTTTTTTCGGATGATTCGAGATGCTTCTCCGAAGGAAATAAATCGACGGAGAAAATAAAGTATGTACTTTAGACACGTATTTTTCGAATATATTGCAAGATAAACATTCGGATCCCGAGGGTTTCACTCCTCCGAAGCTTCCTAGTATTGGAAGTTCATGTCGGAATAAATAACTTTTAAGATTTACGGTGAAAAACTATTTGAAGGAATTGCCATTATCTGCTCGACCCTCGACGGATAAGATGAGTGGATTTCTGAATATTCGTGAATTCAAAAAGTATTAGACTGCAAGCCCCAGAAAAATTTTGAGGGATCATCTTCTTGAAAGTTTATGATTTCTACCACTTGTAGTAAGCNTTGTGACACATCTTTTTGAAGCTCCTGAAAAATGCTTCACAACCCTAAAATATAATGTGAATATCTTCAACTACTAAAAAAAATTCGGAACTTTAAATAATTATGTTTTAATATATGTATGTTTTAAAATATGTTTTTTCGTTAATCAGCTGTCGCCCCCATAAGAACGACAACTCTCAGAAGTTGAGAAACTAAGTACGAGCTAAGTACTAACGAGGTCTTACCTTTTAACGTGTGATTCCTGAATACATTGACATTCAACTACATAATAAGAGGTAATAAGCTTGGGGTCAGTTTAGAAGATGCTCGAAATGGTAGCCTTGAACTTCTTGATATATGAAGAGCCCATCCGATATTTCACGTTGAACATTTTCCAACACAATAACGTCAATATTTCTACAAATATTTATCATTCCCTGCCGCATATCCAATATCGAAGCAGGTTCAGTTTCGTACACCTTTTGCTTCAAATAGCCCCATAAAAAATACAAAGATGTCAAATCTGGCGAGAGGGCTGGCCATTCTGTAGAACCTCGACGGCCAATCCAACGACCGGGAAAAGTAGTATCCGAATAATTTCTTACCTGTCTGGAGTAATGTGGTAAGAGGGTCAACAATAGTTTCCAGCATATTCCAAAATAGTTCCCCTGTTAAATTTTGATCAATAAATAGAGGTCCTACAATATGGTTTCCCAGTATTCCTGCGTAAACGTTAATTTTTTCTGGATATTGGGTATGTGTTTCCCAGAAAAAGTGAGAGTTGATGTCACTCCAATAAGGGCAATTTTGTCTGTGAACATTGCTTTTTGAAAAAATTCACATTCGTCACTAAAACAAGATATTATGGAGATAGGTAAGATGCCTTGCAATGATTTCCGTCATGATTTCGCAGAATTCTGTTCTTCGATCCGGGTCATCTTCAGTCAATTGGTGTACCATTTTAATTTCGTATAGATGATGCCTATTCTCTACACAGTAGAAGAAGACACCTCACAAACATTCGCGACGGAATAAGTAGACTGTTCAGGATTTACTACCATCTCACCGATAGTTGTGAATTTGGATACGAGTTCCCTCAAATATTTTCTACGGATAGGACGATTCGGAAAACATTCATTGAAAACCATTTCGGTCTCATGAAAGTTACGCGTCGAACTGTAAATAAAAATCGCTTCAATTTTTTTTCCAATGGTACCTTTCTACTAGAAAAACCGAAAACTAAATGAGAATATTCTAACTGAACAATGATATTCATTGTCGTACTGACATTTTTTGTCGTTTTTATAAACGAAAAATAACAAACCTTATCACGTTGTTTTAATTGCCAAATGGCAGATAAAAAAGAATATTTCTAGAAATATCTATATTAATGTGTTT